CCACTCAGCTTTTATGATAAATGATTCCGTTGTAACAGAACCCTCCCTCATTGCCAACCACTTCAATGAATATTTTAATAATGTTAGCAAAAATCTTGCAGAGAGCATCCCTGATCACCATGAGGAATTTAGAACCTACCTGCAAAGCAAACAGCAAAATGAGCTGTTCTTATCCCCTGTCACAGCCAGCAGTTGAATTACTGGCCATCATAAAAATGTCCAAAGATGCAGCAACAGGCGAAGACAATATACCAATGAGTATCATTAAGAAAGTAGCCCACTTACCTGTTCCACACATTTGAAACTCCTCCTTCACTAGTGGTGTCTTTCCGGATAAACTGAAAATTGCTAAAGTTCACCCAGCATATAAAAAATCTGGAGACAAAGGTCTCTTCAAGAATTACCGCCCCATATCAGTCCTCCTAGCCTTGAGTAAGATACTGGAGAAGCTAGCATGTAGTAGACTAAAGTCCTTCTGCAATGCCAATAACATCTTTACAGACTCCCAGTTTGGATTTAGAGCTAGAAGGTCGACTGAGAGTCCTCTGCTATCCTATACTAATGACATCATAAATTACTTTGATGACAGTCAGTTCACAGACGGTATATTCTTGGACCTCTCTAAAGCCTTCGACACTGTCGACCATACCATCCTCCTTTCAAAGCTTGAACATTACGGCGTTAGGGGCCTGTCCCACAATTGGTTTACCTCATATCTGTCCAACAGGATGCAGTATGTCTGCTATAATAATCACCAATCTGACTCCTCGCCAAACTTGTATGGCGTCCCCTAAGGTTCCATTCTCGGTCCAGCACACTCATAAAATACAACTTATTTGCAGACAATAGTAATCTTTATGCTAGCAACTCAGACCTCCATTCTTGATGAGAACTATGAACACTGAATTGACTAAAGTCAGGACCTGGGTAATACGTAATAAACTAACCTTAAACTCTGAGAAAACCCACTACACGATCTTTCACAGAAGGAAAAAACTTACCCCCAGACTTGGACCCCCTGTACCTTGGCAATAAAGTCCTCAAACGCGAACAAAATACTAAATTCCTCTGAGTTATTGTTGACGAGAAACTTTACTGGAGAAACCACATACAAGCCATTCACAGTAAAGTCAATAAACAGTGCGGTATCATGCATCACACTCGACAGTCACTCACTCTCACAGCAATGAAAAAAATCTATCATGATCTTGTTTACCAACGCCTGATACACTGTCACACACTATGGGGGGCCTCTGGCTCTTCAAAAACACAATCCCTGGTTACTGCACAAAAGAGAGTTGTACGGACAATGACCCACTTGAAAAAAAAAAAACAGATCACACAAACGAAAAATTTGCTAAATTGAAAATGTTAAAAATCGAAGATAACACCTACTGCTGTGCCCTCTTTGTTTACAAATCTAACACTCACTTGCTTGACAATAATTATTTCCAGTTCCGGAATAATCAGAGATACAACTTAAGGCACCCAGAGCTACTAAGACCCCCTGATGTGCTCCTCTCAGTCCCAGACCTCCATAAAATATCATGGTGTGAAGGTGTGGAACAACTTACCCCCACCCATCCGAGTAAAGACTACGCTCCCTTCCTTTAAATCATCTCTTTCAAAATATCTATTGTCTAAGTATTAATATTTCTTGTAAAGCCTACTATATTTACAGTACCTGCTTTTATTGTACCATCAAAACCGTTTTATCGGAAATTATTATGTAAATACATAAGAAATTACCATTGCAATAAATATATTTGCCAACTAGGCATAATCCTGACAGTTCTGTCCTCTTGTTCAACCTTAATACTGTACAACCCATGTTGTACTGCTTCCACATTATATTTGTTTTTCAATTCCACTGTAATTTATGTATGTACAGTACTTATAATAAAAATAAAAATAGTAAATAAATATAATTAAATAAAAATGGTAAATAAATAAAATTAATAAATATTGAAGTGATAACCGTGGTAAGGTTATGAGATGTTCTTATTACCACCATGCTATTGTACTATTACAGATGATACACATAATACTTCCTTGAGATAAAGGTATAGTATATATCAGGTGCCTACAGGAGAGCTCAGGTTCTCAACTGGCTCAGCCATGTTAATATTGTTATTATTATCCACTCTGTATCTGTGTTTTTCTAGCTAAATAAACTGTTTCAATTCAATTCAATGTACAGTATTTCTTTGTGTATGAACCTGTGTCCTGCATGGCAGTGAGAAGTCATACCACCCTCAGTGTCAAGACCTGACTGAATTCCTCAGAATAGGCAAACTGTACTCCAAGCTTTGTTAAACTAAAACTAAAATTTAGCTTAGGTCATTTTGCCGGGTCCCCAATCCAGCAAGAGGTGGAGTGGCCCGCGACCAGCCGCGCGTCACTCACGTGATGGTCACGTCGCGACGGTCGCGTGGGCTGGGCCATGGCGACGGTGGCGGCGAGTCGGCGACCAGTCAGTCAGTGTCCCGCCAAACGCCTTAGGTAGTGGGAGTCAGCTCCATTCTCTTGTAAATTTTAATAACAAAAGACCCTTATTATTTACTCCGACTTTCGAAAGTATCTTAAGAAATATAACGTGATATGATTTAAGTGATGAGTAACCAAATTATGGCAAATCGGCGAAAGACTGTGTGTGTTGTTTAACTCAAAGTGTTCGGTCACGTTGGTCAGCACGATCATGTGCTGAGAGTACTGTTACAAGAAACTTTTATAAGTGTACTGTTGTGTCAAGTGCAGTTTGTTCATGTTAACACCACAAAAAAATAATTAGTCAGTAAAGAAATCAACAAACAATACATTTACATACATCAAAGTTAAACAACTATGAATAGAAGTTGTATTACTGTACCATAAAATTATCATAAAGAAATAATGTTACCCCGTGACTTATCAAGTACTGCACATAGTGTTATCAAACAAAATTCACTCAACGAAATTACAATATAGTAGTGCGAAAATGTATTATAGAAACACTTTCAAGTTACTGTATTTATAATGAAGTTTATATACAGTATGTGACTTGCGTGTTTATAATTAATTAAATTTATGCTGTATATTCTTGTCACACTTGCCAGATGCTTCTGGTGTCATTGTACAGGGGTACCTAGTGACAGCACTAGGATCCCGCTTCCTCTATCAAGGAATAAACAATTGAAATTGAATGAAGTTGATGTTTGTTTAAAGAATCGCAATATTGGAATGTCTGAGCATTTTTGTTACGATTGTTAAAAAACGACTTCTGTAAACAAAGAACATGTCAGGAGTCTGAAAGGTTCGTAGGTTAAATTTTGTCATTAACTTGATGTATAAGAATGATTGTCTCACCTAAGATATAACACAAAGATGTACTATTCTCAAAGGCTCCTCTACCAAATTTCCTCCTACTGGATATGTGCGAACGTTTCTAACAGACTTAAACCTTGTACACACACCTACACAAAGCCTGTAGGAAGGCCCAGTCTCACGCGTTCATTCGATATTTCGTTTGACTGGACAACTGGACCCCAACCAACTGGACCCCAACCAACTGGACCCAAACCTACTGGACCCCAACTTACTGAACCCCAACCACTGGACTCCAACCTACTGGACCCAAACCAACTGGACCCCAACTAGCTTGATCCCAACCTACCTGACCCCAACCCAATCCCAGTCTGGGCCTCAATTTTCAGTGGTTAGATGAGGTTAGGTTGAGCTGCTTTGGCTTAGACTGGAATAGGTTAAATTAAGTCAAGTTAGCGTAGATAAAGTTGAGTTAGGAGTGGTTAGATTAGGATAGGTTAGGTTGGGTTTAGGATAGGTTAGATTGGGATAGGATAGGTGAAATTGGGATAGGATATGTGAAATTGGGATAGGATAGGTGAAATTGGGATAGGATAGGTGAGCTTGGGTCAGGTTCGGATTAAGTTAGGTTGGGTTGGATTAAGTTAGGGTTGGCTGGATTAGGTTGGGACCCTTTATGACTGGTTCAACTGATCATCCCGTTAGATTTTTTCCTCCAAACTGACCCACTCGAGGAAAGACTTGAAGATGGCGGCGAAAATGACATTAAAATTACACCGAGACTACCGTAACTGGTATCCATATTAAGAGTGTGTAGTGGCTCGAATCTGCGTACAATAACGTAACTGGATTGGTTCTGTATTTTCGATAATTAATGTTTTTTTTAATTAAATTAGACCTAACTTTTCTTAACCGAACCTGACTATAGCTAATAAAACTTATTTGAAGTTAATTTAAGGTATCCGAACATAATGTGACCCAACCTAAGTTTGGTGAGTGAGTGTGTGGCTGTATCTATGAATTTTGCCTGTTTTTTGCATTGTTTTTTACAGTCACTATTTCAGCAGTAATCCTCCGTAAACTAACTTACATTTTACCATATATGGCTTGAAATAGTCTATTAGTAGCAGTACAGTACCTGACTCTTGATATGCCTTTTGTTTCTCTAGTCGTCTCTTGAACCTCAACACCCCCCTACATACAAACCACCTCTCGTACAGCAATTAAAGTATCATTAAGATATATAGATCTTATCACTAGTAGAGGTATATGGATATTTTCATATAACAATATCGATAAAATAAAGAATGAACATAACATTTTTAAAACAATCAATTTGCATGTCAAGTAATATTTAGTTTAATTTTCCTAGTATTTTTTTTTTAAGTTGGTGACCTTACTCATTTGCCATAGAATCGAATCGAATGAAATTGATTAACTTTGCAATAACATCTTTGTTACTGGATAATTGTATGAACATTTTCTAGTGTCATATACTGTTTGTGGTAATTTTTTTAATTCCCCCACCTATCCCTCCACAGCTTATACTCAACATAACAGTACACATCAGTAATATGTGCAGCAGCATATTGTTTGTGGATAGTAAGCATCGGATTCAGTAAGTGTTGTGCGGTTGTAATATATTGGCATTTGGCATTAATTAAACATAATGACTGATTAGTAATGTGGTAATTGCTGAATATTTCGTGAAATTACGAGGAAAAAATCTAAAAATGGGCACACAATATAGTATAGCCACTTTATCGTACTCATATGGGTGCGAGGCTGGGGGTAGGATCGGCGTCACTGGTTTGTAGATAATCTGGGCATTTTAATTTTAGTGTTTAGTTGCGCTTAGATTTCAGTGACGGATTCATAGCATTTGTTGAAAAGGGCATCCTGGTTTCGCATTTCATTATTATTTTGGTCTGTCACTTTGACTTGGGCTGAACCAAGGATTCAAATGATTATACTAATGTGGTTTTATTTATACTGAGTTTTGAATATTTTTGTCTTAAGTAGCTGCTGAGTCGCGCTGAATGACAAACTTGGCCAGTCCCACCATTTAAGAAATTAATTTTGTTCTCTCCTCACTGCCAGTTGATATTTGTTTTAGAAAATATCAAAGACAGTGAATCTTGATGGCAGCAATATTTCAATAATAAAAGGTGTGTATTTGGTGATGGGTAACAGTGAGGCATCGCAGCCGAAATTCACCAGCTTGTAGTGTACCATCATCCAACCATCTAAAACTCTCAATTTGTATTCGCATTGTCATTGGAAAAAAGCCTCAATAAATATTAGAAACCAAAGACAATTAATTAAAGTAATATTATTATTATGAACCTGGCTTGTATCTATATCTATCAGTGAAAAATGAAAGAGTAACTTAAGTGAACTTTACCAGCTCTGGGGAAATATTCTTCATGTATTTTTCCCATAAATCATTTAAGCCTTTTATGTAATATGAATAGTTATATAATATGACAGAACAAGTAGATCGATATACTGTACCTTTGCTTTTAAAAGGAACAGAGCAAAGTTTGGCATTGCTCAGTGGTCCGTTTTAGTGAAATTCAGACATTCATTATTCAGTAATAATTTGTGTTTATTCCCTAACCTAAGTGTGCAGAGCGCGTGGAGGCAGTGGTCAACTGATTTGCATTCTTACATTAAAGAGACACATTCGTGAATATTCATTGAAAATATACTGTATATTAGCAACGATGTGGAGTCGCTCAAGACATTTACCCCTTTTCCTTAAGTTCCTGGTTCTGTGTATAAGGGTATTCTAAATTTACTTTATTATTTTTATTATTATTATTATTATTATTATTATTATTATTAGTTAGTGGTAGTAGTAGTATTATGATAACCAATACAGATAATTTAGGACTGATTTATTGTACTGTCATGAAAGAAAATAACCATTGTTGCTGTACTGTGTTTTAAGCGCACTAATATCACAAGAATGCGTATTTTGCTATGAGATACTGTGCTGTATATCAACAGTTTGATTATGATTTATAAGTGGTGTAACCAATGCATGCAATTTCCCCCAATAAAAGCTTATAAAAGTCATGTCTTTTCTTGGAGCAAAATTAAAAAAAGTGTTTTTATATCTGCCAATGCTTTTATATGTAATCATATTACAGGTGTATATATTAAGTCTACTGAAAATACAGGAAACATGTTCAATGAGGTAAAAAAGTTACCGAAGAGCCATAATACACTGATGTCTGATATTAATGAAATTTTTTATGCCAAAAATGATGAAACATCCGCTATTTCAAAATAGTATCTTAATACTACTACTACTGTATACTACAAATAGTAATATTGAAAATAGTTAGACTGTAATTATGAAGCTTAAAATTGAAACAGGTCAATGTGGAATACATATGGATTAGCTTATTAATAAGGAGTTTGTTGGCTTCATAATACAGTATATTATCATTTAGTGGATAAAGGCTAATGGGAGGATATAAATGATCAACAAGTCTGGAAAGATTTGAAGTAAACGGAGCCGTCGTGTTCCAATATTTCCGCGACTTAATATTTTCTACCTCGACATTATCACCACTATCTCCGAGACTTAACAGTTAACTTAATTAGAAACTCCTTATTACTGCATGATACAGTTGCTACGTTTAATGAGTCTACGCTTATATTTTACTCAGTATCATGTTAATTATGTTGTCTTTAGAACATTATATAATTATGTTTAAAGGGTTGGCAGCGTCAAGACACGAACTTTTTTTTTTATGGGATTACCCCACCAGAGCACAGGTCAGTGGTCCACACCAGGGCCTGAAGGCTAAAGTATAATCATAATAATAATAATAACAATAATTAATAAAAAATAAAATAAAATTATAATATTAAATAAAAATATAATATACTATATAATAATAATAATAATGAATAAAAAATAAAATTATAATAATATTAAATAAAAATATAATATACTATATAATAATAATTATTATTATTATTATTATTATTATTATTATTATTATTATTATTATAAACACAAAGAACCATAAATAAAGACAAAAATTAAAAATTAAATATCAATAGTGAGAAACGATATACTGTATGTACGGTAGCTAAAACAACTATCTGCGCATACTTTGTGGGAAACAATATGACACCATGGACTGTATAAGAGGGCTGTCACTAGTCACACGTAAAATTTCGGAGCATATTGACCCCCACCTGCACAGATAGTTGTTTTAGCTACTGTGCATAGTACAGTATGTTGTGTTGACAAAGTAAGAGAAACAATTGAGACCCTGCAATTGTGTATGAGGCAGAAAGTCAGATCAGCAACATGGGACTTGGTCACAATTTTCTTGATGCCATATAGCAGTAGGGTCGACCATTAGACAATATGCTTCCAATATCTTCCCAGGCGGTAGTACGTACCTCCCCGTTTGATAGCTGCCTTCTACCTACTGCCTGTTCACTCTTAAGCTAGAACCTATTACTGTATACTGCATGTGGTGTTAAGGCTTTCTTAAAGGCGGTTGCTTAGACTTCATATACAAACTGTGTATGTATGTTATGTATGTATGTGTACACAAACACACTACATTTCATCAATCATTCAGGCAGAGGTCTTGAAGAGGGTTTGACAATGGCTGGGATCAAGTAGAGCAAGACATGAAAGTGTAGAAGTGATGCATTATGTCAGGGTTCTGGGAGTCCCCATGTGAGTGGATATGAATTATTCCTCGCCAAATTGACTGGATCACTTAATATGTGGACCAGTGGTTGACTGTTCCTGGAACGGACTACTAATTCACATAATCATAGAAAAGAACTATGAACTTGACCTTAGTTTACAGTATATCCAAACATATGTCTTCATATTGTTAAGAGTCGTTGTAGTTAGCTCTCACTGGTTAAACAGGGGCGTTCATTCCTAATGTATGTCTGCACTACGGATACTCTGTATATTTTGTAAGGATCCTGGAACTAGAAATAGAGCTCTAATTGTTATCAACAAAACTTTTGAACACCCGCATGATAACATTACAGGTCATGGTCACAGCGACCTTTAGTATCCCGCAGTGAATTTGATCCTGGGTCAGCTGTACAATAACTCGCGAATTGCTCTCAGAAATGAAGTGCCTATGGCCATCTCACCATAACATGCAGACATAGCACTCAAGAAACCGAAAAAGGTAAAAGTAACTGGCACAGAATTCTCCGGTGCTCATTTTATGCTATAGAGCCGGGTATGTCATAGTCCACTACAGTGAACCACAGTAAGTTAGGTCTGGTTGATTTGTTTTTTCTGTCTTGTGTGGTTATTTTGCATAGACTCAAATTTAGATAAAAGCCGAATTTTAGTCGCAGCTACAATCAAAAGTAATATTTACTTCCTTGTGTATTAAGGCAGAGAAATGCTTAAATGTTTCTAACATTTTTTTATTTACAGGATATTTAGTTTTAATCGGGAAGCAGCTGTGTGTCTTAAAATTACCGCAAATTCTAATAGCCATTAAAGTCACCGAGGATCCACCAATAAAATATGGATCTAATCATGAATTTCTAGTGAGAACTCTCCTGTGTATGCTGCTGCCAGCCAGGGAATGTAATTAGATATTTATTTATAATATAATTTATGATTCAGACTTGAAAGTACCTAGATTCAGAGGTACAGAAATAAATGTACTGTACTTACAATCCAATATAGTGGTCAAGTGTATTGGTACTAAGAAATATATATTATGCTGTAGTGTATTGATAAAGCTTAAGAGCAAAAGTAAACGTCGGGAGTCTTAAGTCAGGCAGAAGCATTTTGTCACACAGGCTGTGGCGTGTGGTTGGTGCTTCTAAACAAAGGAACAGATGTGAAATGTAAAAAAATCTGTAACTTGTAAAAAAAAAAGAACAAATAGTGTAAAAACGGCTGTGACTAATAAGAAAAAAAATCTGGTGAGAGTTGTAAATACTGTATACGAAAAACAACTTTGGATGTAAATAAATAATAGTCCTAACTTGTAAATAAAAGGAAAAGAAATTTGAATAACCAAAATAAAAGCAATTGTAACCTGTAAAGAGAAGAAAAACAGCTGTGACCTTTAAATGGAAACACCTGCGATGAAAAGAAGGCAGCTGTGAAACTACTGTAACGCGTTCACAAAGAAGAGAACAAGGTTGCGTACAGCCACTCCCAGCACCAAACTTACTTGTGTGAGCGTATTGATTAACGCAAGTGCGTCATAGCCATGGGTCTTTGACTTCAACAGCCCTCGACAACCTACTGTAGTCATCCCCAGAACCACCTAGTTCCCGTTTTCGTTATGAAGCTTCGAATCGGCCGCTGGACTTTTCGATTCAGAGTATCAGGTCTTTTAAAGAATTACCAGCGACTCTGATTCACTGAATTAAGTCAGCAATTCACATATGACGATGTGTGAAGTGTTTTATAAGTGTTAAATTCAACTAATAAAGTACAATAGTGACAATATAAGGTACTTAAAGGTGTGTATGAGTTAAAATAATATTATTATAGACCTAAAGAGATGTAAACGAATGCTGGTGCTAGAACAGCTGTTCTCAGTTTGTAAACGCAGACGAGACGATGGGTTAGGCTTCCCGGGAGTTAAAGGACTGCTACCTTGTCTCCGTCAGTCATTGTTGCTCTACTTTCTGTTCGCTTCATCTATTACCTTCACGCTACACGTCTCTACCAGTTTCATTCACCAGGTAAGTACATTCCTCTTCGGTGTGCCGACATTTGCTCACAAGGCAAACGTTCACAACTTTTTATTTGTATTTTTAAACCAATTTATAAAAAACAGTATACAAATTTTGTGGTAAAATTGTTTTATTATCTTTATTGTCAAATCATAATGTGATATAACTACTCTAATCGGATGCAGTGCCCTATTGCTGCTAGGTTAGGTTAGTTTATTGGTTTTTATAAATTGTGATTTGCAATTTTTTTTTTTTTTAGCATTTCTTCCTTTCCATTAATATTGTATCTGTCTTGTTACTCTTGTGAGCATTTGTATTGTAAGCATATATCTTGTGAGCTTATGTTTTGTGAGCAAATGTCATGGAACCTTCTTGTGTTGTTTGAAGTACTATACATATTTTATTTATTCCCGGTGTTCTGCAACAATATGGCAAATACCTCGGGGCCAGAGCTGGCTAATGTCAAACTAATTAATTAAGCCAAACGCAATGATCTTAATATATTTTTAGATTAAGATAAGTTTGGTTGCTTGGTTTTGGCTCAATTCATGTTTAGTTAGATCTGGCCCCAAACACTCATCTTGACCATTTCTCTTTTGTTTACATTTCACTGTTCTTGCTTACCTAAGCTAGCCGTTATGATATATACGTATTTAGGTTTTTCGGTATTCAACCAAAGAAATTCTAAGTTTTTCGCCTTTTATCAGTTCCATTGGTTACAGCTCTCAGTAGTAGTTTTAGTAAATTGTTTATTCAGAATTTTAATGTCACTTATTTAACATTTTGTTTCCGAAGTGTGTGATAGTAAATAAGAAAATATATAAAATTTTCACTAGAGCGTGTTGGTGTTAAGGAGATTTAGCCGGTGTACGTACAGTTGGCGGCTGACACATTGAATCTTTATCACCGATGACAAGAACTGACTAAACATAATCTAACCTAACAATCGTGAAATATTTGTTGTTTAAGGTTATTGTTGATTCGTTTTCCCCCTTTTTTAAGTAACCCTAGAAACTATCAGAAAGAACACCATGGAAAATATGAGACGTGTCGATGTCACGTGATACTCGTGCACTGCTCTTAATTTTTCCCCAGCCACTCAGCGCAAATCTTGATGTCACGTGAATTTGAAATACTGTGAAGATGGCTTCTGTTTTTTAAGGTTGATCGTTGGAAGACTGGCGTGTAATTCGACGCGTATTAGAGAAAAGTCACAGCTATTAACATCTTTCGGTCTGATTGTGTTCTTGGTTTACGCACTTGGGATCCTTTTGGTATCTCAGATTAGATTTAGATGTATATACAGTATAGTATACCCAGGGTATACTGTACTGTATATACGACTCTCAACTATCAGTATACAGTCTGTATACAGATAATCTGAAAATCGTTTTTTCGTATTTTTTGCTCCACAATGTTGGTATTGGGGGGGGGGGGGTCATCTTCAAAATACTCATATCCACCAGATACGAAGGTCATATTCATGTAACATAGAGTGAAAACAATAAAAAATTTTACCAACGTTTGTCAATGTAAAGCTGGTGACTGGCTGAAGATGTGACTTGATTAACGGCCAGCAGGCCGTGGCCACTGCGCCTTCAGAGCTTCTGAGAATTAAGAATAAGTCACATGTTTTCTTGCTGCAATGCTGCAGTACTATTTTGACATTGTTTACATTAAAAACAAACGATATGTATGAAGATAAGATCGCGGTCGATTTTAATCCAATAGATATGAATTTTTTTCCACTGTCATAAAATAAAATGTTCTACTCATTGAGTTCTATTATGTAACTCTTTAAGTTTTGATTTTTCAAACTTTATTTTCGGTGAAAATTTTACACATTGTCTTAAAACAACGAATCAAGCTGTATGAAGTCTACCAAGCCAAACATGCCAGTTCTAGAATATGATATTTTAGTTAGGTATGGTTTGATTTTATTAGTTCGTTTTATTTGGTTTTCAAAGAAGTGCGAGACCACACTGATCCTCATAATCTCCACAGAAACATTTTGGTGATAATTAATCTCTAAGAAAACCAACCACGGAGTTATTCTAGGGTCAGACCTAAATATGTACTACTATCTGATGTTTTTATATATATATATATATATATATATATATATATATATATATATATATATATATATATATATATATATATATATATATATATATATATATATATATATATATATATATATATATCTTGGAATTAGATAACTTATTAATATTTTCCAGGGGATCTTTCGTAAGCTCACAATACGTGCTTTCATCACTAAGTAATGAATTCATCTTATCATTGTAGTCACTTTTATCCAAAATAACAATAGCATTAGACTTATCAGCCTTGGTAATATGGATATTCTTATTTCTTTTCAAGTTTATCATGGCTGTTTCAAATCTTTTTGGAATGTTTGAAACAAATTTCTTATGTAAAATATTATGTATACAACCTTTAGCCATGGAAATATCTTCATTTGTAACATCTGACGACTTATTCTTTTCCAGGTTGATTAAACCTTTAGCAATAGTAAGCGGATTAACACACCGTTGAGTGATAGAAAACTTCCTACCAAAACCAAGAACAAGTTTCTCATTTGTCTGTAGATCATAAGATGATAAGTTTATGAACAAATTTGGATCACTCAATATGGTCCAGTAACTCTCGTCAAACAGAGCATTATCTAATTCCAAAATGAAGATGGTATTGAAAAAGAACCCCGATCTCATCAAACAGCTCTCTCAAATCAATCATACTTTATCTTATATGTATGGATTGATCAAAACACACAAGCCTAACAATCCATTACGTCCTATCGTGAGTTCTGTGGGGTCTGTTATTTACAAATTATCCAAGTGGCTGGTAAAGATGCTATCCCCTCTTACAGGCCAAATATCTAATTCACATATACACAATAGCAGTGATTTAATAGATAAACTCAAGAAACACAACGAACCTTGCGAATTAATAAGTTTTGATGTAAATTCACTGTTCACTAGAGTACCTGTGAAAGACTTACTTTCATTTCTTAAAGATAAATTACAACTGCTAGATTTAACTATTGAACATGATACTTTCCTGAAATTGATAGAGTTATGCGTAACTGACAATGTGTTTAGAGCAAATGGGAAGTTCTACAAGCAAATATTTGGCATGAGCATGGGTAATTGTCTTTCTGCTCCTCTAGCCTGTATTTATATGGAGTTTTTTGAGTCTAGATTACTACCCAATATAGTGGACTTTATTCCTCCATGGTATAGATATGTAGATGATGTTCTTTGTCTTTGGCCTAGAAACAGTGACCCATTGGAATTTTTAGACAAGCTTAATGATATTGTCCCAAGTATCACATTCAAAATTGAAAGAGAAATAAATGGATCCCTTCCATTCCTTGATATGCTTATCATGAGAAATGGCCAAAACTACAAATTTAAGGTATACAGAAAGCCCACACAGGTAGACAGTTTCATTCACTTTTTATCGAATCACCTGGAGTCTACCAAAATGTCAGTTTTTTCTGCTATGTTCTTAAGATGTCTGCGTATTTGTGACTCTGAATTTATTGACGATGAATTGAAACACATTCGTTCCATTGCACAGAAACTCGGGTACCCTTCTGTGTTTGTTGATCGTTGTTTTAAAAGGGCTAAAAAATCCTTTCATTCCTCTCAAACCAGGCAAATTCCTACACTTAAGAATATTTTGACTCTGCCCTATCGTAATGAATTTGTCCCGTTAGTTCGGTCCCTCAAGCTTCTAAATATTAATGTTGTTTTCAAGTATGACTCAACCATTACCAATATGTTAATAAGAAATAGCCCAAGTTTGAATGTAAATGGAAGTGTTTATTGTATTCCATGTAGCAAATGTAATTGTAATTATGTAGGACAGACAGGAAAACACTGCAGCTCAGAATCAAACAACATAAGTATAATATCAGAACAGCATCTGAAAGCAGTGCCTTGTTCGTTCATGTTAGGAATAATAATCATCCCATTGCTTGGGAAAAAAGCTTAGAAGTATTTAAATCATCTTGTGTCACAGAAAGACTTCTGGTTGAAGCTAGTTTGATTAAGGAATTAAAATCAATAAACCTAAGTGATGGTCAGTTCAAAACTGATAATATACTGGGATCAGCAGTGACATAAGCAAGTTTGCGGATGACACCAAAATAGGGCAGCAAATTAATTCAGGGCAGGATGCAAATGCATTACAGGAGGATCTAAATAAACTGCAGGGGTGGTCTGAAAAATAGCAAATGAAATTCAACACCAGCAAGTGCAGCGTACTTAATATTGGAAGAACAAATACTTATAATGTATACAGCCTGAACAACATCAACCTAGAGAAGTCGACTTGTGAAAGAGACCTAGGGGTACTTGTAAGCCCGGACCTGCGGCCTAGAAAACAGTGCGTTAATGTTCGAAATAAGGCAAACAGAGTATTGGGTTTTATATCTAGAAGTGTAAGTAACAAGAGTGCAGAGGTCTTATTACAACTATATCTTGCGCTAGTTAGGCCGCACCTCGATTATGCAGTTCAGTTCTGGTGCCCCTATTATAGAATGGATATAAATTCACTAGAGTCGGTGCAGCGAAGAATGACAAAAATGATTCAGGGACTTAGAAACCTTCCATATCAGGATAGGTTAATGAAACTTAACTTGCATTCCCTAGAAGGACGAAGAGTGCGGGGAGATATGATAGAAGTATTTAAGTGGGTGAAAGGAATCAATAAAGGGGATATAGATAAAGTTCTTATAATATCCGAGCAGGATAGGACTCGGAGCAACGGATTCAAGTTGGATAAGTTTAGGTTTAGGAGGGAGATAGGAAGAAACTGGTTCACAAATAGGGTGGTGGACGAGTGGAACAAGCTTAGCAACTTTGTAGTAAGTGCGGGAACTCTGGAAAGTTTTAAAAGGAGGCTAGATGGATTCATGGATGATAGAGTGGTAGTAACCCTCGACAAGAGCTGCCATGCACAGGCCAACCGGCCTATTGCAG